AGATTTGCAAAACCACTACATATGTACAGTACTAAGATCCAGTACTAAGATTGATGTCACCCCTGGTATCATGTGGGAAATACAGAAAAGGGTAAGAGACCAGCTATGTAAGAGTTTCAAAGAGAAGAAGAAGAGGAGGAGGAGGAAGAGTTTGAATTTGATATCAGCTTTATCACTACCCTAAGGAGTCTCAAAGCGGCTAACATTCTCCTTTCCCTTCCTCCCCCACAACAAACACTCTGTGAGGTGAGTGGGGCTGAGAGACTTCAGAGAAGTGTGACTAGCCCAAGGTCACCCAGCAGCTGCATGTGGAGAAGCGGAGACAAGAAGCTGCTTCACCAGATTACGAGTCTACCGCTCTTAACCACTACATCACACCGGCTCCATTACTTGGAGGATTCCATTACTTGCACCAAAAATGTTTTGAAATGTTTCCCTCCCCACAAGTATGTTCTGCTTTTCATTAGAGATTATTACTTCAAAGTCTGTTTCCCAAGGAATTTTTGTAACCATAAAATTCTACCTCAAATAACATTTTAAAAATATGGTTGATACTTCTTCTTTGGCGACCACTTGTAGCCAAGTAAGATTTTCTCCAATGAGCACGGTATTAACAGTGAGTCCATAAGTGACTGTGAAGGCCAGTTCTGGATCTACACATCCTTCCACAGCTGGGACATAGGTTTCCGGGCAGGAGTTGATCATGGTGAGGGTTTGCCAAAAGTGCCTTCCTCTGAGCACGTTTCTCCCTTTCGTCCTGAGTTTGAGCATCATCAAGTCCATTACACTTTTAGTAAAGGTTGTTCTCCAATTGGAGCGCTTGCAGGCCAGTGTTTCCCAGTTGTCGGAGTTTATACTACATTTTTTTAGATTTGCCTTGAGAGAGTCTTTAGACCGCTTTTGTTGACCACCAGCATTATGCTTTCCATTTTTAAGGTCAGAAGTTTGGAAGATGATAATCAGGCATCTGCACAACATGACCAGTACAACGAAGTTGATGTTGAAGAATCATTGCTTCAACACTGCTGATCTTTGCTTCTTCCAGTACACTGGCATTAGTTTGTCTGCCTTCCCAAGTGATGTACAAAATTTTTCGGAAACACCGTTGATGGAAACTTTCAAGGAGTTGGAGATGGGATTTATAAATGGTCCACGTTTCACAAGCATGCAATAAGGTTGGCAGTACAATAGCTTCGTAAAAAAGCATTTTGGTTTCCCTGCAAATGCCCCAGTCCTCAAACACTTTGTACTTGATTTGGGAGAAAGCTGCATTCGCTGAACTCAGGTGATGCTGGATTCCAGCATCAATGCCAGCCCTTGTGGAAAGATAATTGCCCAGGTAAAATGTGGTTGACAAGTGAGCCACACTTTCCAGTGTTACACCATTGAGTTGGATTTGTGACACTGCAGAGGGGTTGTTTTGTGCTTGTTGGTGCAGTACTTTGGTTTTCTGGATGTTGAGCAATAGGCCAAGTTGTTTGTAAACTTCAGCAAAGCTATTTAGGATGATTTGGAGGTCATCCTCTGAGTGTGCATACACTACGTTGTCATCAGCATACTGAAGCTTTATGACGGAAGGTATAGTAACCTTACTGTTTGCTTTTAGCGTATTCAGATTAAAGAGCTTTCCATCTGTTCGATATATGATTTCTACTCCAGTGGGGAGTTTCCCCTCAACAAAGTGTAGGATCATGGCAATGAAAATAGTGAACAGAGTTGGGACGGTAACACAACCCTGTTTAACCACCTGATCCCACTGTGAATGGTTCACTTTGAGAGCCATTATTATCTGCGATTGTTGCTGTAAGGAGCCGAATGATGTTCACAGATTTATCTGGGCAGCCAATTTTCAGAAGGACGGTCCACAGGGTATTATGATTTATAGTATCAAAGGCCTTAGTCAGGTCAATAAATGCCATATAAAGGGATTGGTTTTGCTCTCTGTATTTTTCTTGAAATTTTCAAGAGGTGAAAATCATGTCCACTGTCCCCCTAGATAGAAGGTCTAAAACCATTTTGGGATTCAGGTTAGGAGATGGTTTGCTAAGATTCTTCAAGAATTTTGCCGGTCACAGCTAATAAAGAGATGCCTTGATAGTTTCTGCAATCCGTTTTATCACCTTTTCTTAAAGAGATTGATCATTTTGGCATCCCTAAAGTCTGCTGGGATCTCCTCTCTCTCTACCAGACTCTTTTTTTCCAATGAGCTTGTGATACTACACCCTTGGTTGTAGCAGGAGCATTCACCATAAATTGTTCTAAAGCAGTCAACTCTCAGTCTGCTTAAATGGCTGTGCATGGTTTTAACAGAAAGAAAAACAACTGATTAAAATCAAACCATGGCCATACTACACAAGGAGTTTTAGTCAAGATCTGTTCTTTACATTGGGGAGGAACCAGTTACATAAAAAAAAAAAAAACCCTGAGTCTACATAGACCTGATTGTTCCTAGCAAGTGGCATAGAGTGGGGTGGGGGAGTAGAGGGGCGATTCCCCGGGCACAACATTGCTAGGGGCGCAAAATTTCAACACCTGGTGCTGACTCAATACAGCTGTGCGATTCCATTGCTGGGCCCAGTTGAAAATGGCTTCTCCATGTGAAGCAGGAAGTGACCTCTCCAGTCAACAGAATGACATTAATAATAATAATAATAATAATAATAATAATAATAATTCTGTTGGAGGCTCTCAACGGAATATTAGAAACACGATAAAACATCAAACATTCAAAGCTTCTCTAAACATGACTGCCTTCAGATGTCTTCTTAAAGTCATATAGTTGTTTATTTCTTTGACATCTGATGGGAGGGCAGGTGCCACTACCAAGAAGGCCCTCTTCCTGGTTCCCTGTAACCTCACTTCTCGCAGTAAGGGAACCGCCAGAAGGTCCTCGGTGCTGGACCTCAGTGCCCGGGCTGAACGATGGGGGTGGAGACACTCCTTCAGGTATTCTGGGTCGAGGCCTTTAGGGCTTTAAAGGTCAGCACCAACACTTTGAATTATACGCAGAAACGTGCTCTTATCTCTGTGGTTGCAATCTCCTAGGTAACGCGGACGCCATCAGGTGGCTGAATGTGCACGCATATTCTGTCCGTTTATTCCCACTCTGTATGGCCCCAGGCAATGGCAACCCCTGCTTTGCCACTGTTCCCACCCTTCCCAGTTCCTTGATCTTCTTAATACACAAATGTTCTGCACATGGGATGTTTCATTAATTGTCACCTACACTTTTGGGAAACTACCATTTGTTGTAGTGCTTCACAACTCCCTAGGCATCCACAACCAACATGAAACCCCTTTCCCCAAAATACATTTACTCCATCAGTCAAAGGAAATGCTTCAGATAGTTTTCCATCTGCTGTCTATATTTACTTCCTTTTTGAAGTCAGTCATTTCAGCAAAGTCTGGTGAGGAGAGAGATGCTATTCTTGAACCCATCTCTTTCTGTATCTGCTTCATCACAAACTGAATTAGCTCCCTGCATATTAGACAAAAGGACTCCACCTTAGCAGAAAACAGTCTCCAGGTTTGCTTACAGCAGCTTTTACCTTTTGACTCCTAGTGACAGGGTAAACCTTTTCTCCGGCTCCCAGTATATTCTGCCTAAGAATTTTGGCTCATCTTTCCCTCTCCAGTAAATCTTTGCCTCAGATACTGGGAGCTAATCTGGATGCCGTCGGTGACCTTTGCTGTTTCGTGAGGAAACATATTTGTGGAAGTATTTAGATCTTCTCTTAATAAACTGATTCCTGTACCTGTGTCTAGAGATGCCCAGTGTGTGTTGTTATTCATTAAAACTTCCTCTATTAACTCAGTGTCAAAGTTTGCGGCTTTCTCAAACCTCATTTTACAGAGTTTGAGCTTTTGGGAGGGCTTGGACTGGTTTGGACTCAGTCTGACCCTTATATTTCTCTCCCTTATGGTTTTGATCTATGGGCTACTTTTAAAATGAGGCTGCATTTTAAATTGAATTTTAACCTGTATTTTAAATCGGGTTTTTTCTGGTATGTTTTTATTGTAATTTTACTGGTGTTAGCCGCCCCGAGCCCAGCTCTGGCCGGGGAGGGTTTGGTATAAGTAAAAATTATTATTGTTAGGGCAAGATGTCTACAAATTTTGCCATTTTAACTGGGGAGCTGAGGCACTTAGATGCTACTGACCTGACTTCGCACCTTTCCCTGTGCAGTTTGCTTGCCTCTCTCCTCTTCAAGGCTAATTGGTCTGCTAACACAACCACCTCATGGACATTCTGAGGATTTCTGTCTCTCAAAATTCGAGAAAATGTATAGAGAGACTTTTTTCTCCCTTTCTCATCTTGCTAGAAGCAGGGGTCATGCAGGGGACCAGAATCTTGCAGAATTCAGTGGAAGCAAAAGGATATAGTTCTTCACAAAATGCATAAACTTCTAGATTCAGTACCAGAAGATGTGGCGATTGCCACTGATTTGGATGGCTTTAAATGCAGATTACAAATCAAAAAACAAAGTCAAGGTTTAAATGTGCTTAATATATTTCTTTAACTCGTGTATGCAATAATTTAAAACTGCTATCAAAATACAGTATCTGACTGAGAGGCTGGATAATCCTGCACCATTTGACTACATTATCTCCTATCAAAAATATGTTATTGTCCAAAGTCTTGTAACATATTGATTACAAAAGCTGTAGTCCACAATAAAGTCCACACTGTGTACATATGCAAATGTTGCAAAACTACAAAAGATTATCCAGCTATTATGACTGTTGCTTCTCTGAATAAATAATGGTTTGAGGCACTTTAAAAGGGGACTTGTTTTGAAAAAGGGGGAATGATAATTCTCTCAAGGTGAATGTACCTTATTTTAACCACATAGAACTAAACCATTCAGGGGGCCAGAGAGAAAGATGTCCTGCAAATGTTCCAATTTTAGTTTGGCCAAAAACTGCTTCAGACAGCTGAGGCCCTGGACACCTTGCTATGCGGAACTGAGGCTTTACATTTAAAAACCAGGACAAACAGGTTATCAGAATGCAGAACAAGCTTTATTGAAAAGGTCAAAGTAAGAGCATTGAAAGGGGCAAAGAAGAAAATCGGTGTAGAAGGATCTTTTTTCTTCTGCACTCTGAAGCAAAGAACGGAGGATGAATTCCAGGAGTGATTGCTTGAATTCAGCTTTTCTGAACCATGGTCGATAGATCTGTATCAAGCCCTCTGATTATCAGTTCAGGATATGCTTCTCAGGTTTAATTGGTCTATGAACAGATGCTAAAACGACGCCCAAACTTCCTTCCCCTCCCGTAGCCCAAACCATAGCCGAAACCTCCAGAGCTTCCAAGGAGACCAGACCCAAAGCCCAAGCCCCCATAGCCATAGCCTCCTACGATCCCGGAACCACCAACAGCACATGGAGTGTTGCCTCCAACAGCCACAGGCTCACAGCTGGCAGAGAGGATGGCCCCTGGGATGGTCAAAACGGAGGCAGGTGGCTGGATCACGACCTCTGCTGGTGGGATCTGGTTGATGGGTTTAGGGATAATCCCATCTAGGATGCCAAGGTTGGCTGCTCTTTCAGCACCTCCATATCCATAGCCGAGACCACTAAATCCGTAGCCGAATCCTCCATTTCCATAGCCGAGACCTCCCAATCCATAGCCGAGACCACCATAGCCAAGACCTCCTGCTGAGCCAAACCCAACAGTGGGGGTGGAAGCACAGGATGGGACAGCGCAGGATGGACCACAGTCAACCATTGTTGGGTGGAGGTGAGTCTGAAACCAAAAACACCAAGGGACAAAATAAGTGTGGGCTACATCACTTCAGTGGGGGTGGACCACAGTCAACCATGGCTGAAGAAGAATCTAAAGTATACAATTGAATAACTGAGTTGAATATGGAGCATGAGAACCAAAGAGGGCCAAATAATTATAAAAGCTCAGATATAAGGTACTTCAGGGAGAGTCAGTGTGTAGTTTTTTTCTGATGTTGCAGACTTCAATTCGCATCAGACCCCACCAGCATGAACAATAGAGAAGGGTGATGAGACTATAGGAACTACACCCCTGTGGTAGACACTGTAGAAAAAGAAGAAAATACTCACATACCTTATTAGGTCTCCGTGTTTCCATGATCGTGCTCTGAATAAAGAATTCTATCAACAATTCTATCAATCATGTTTTGACAGGCTGGACCACTATAATCTACAGTGGTGCCCCGCAAGACGAATGCCTCGCAAGACGGAAAACTCACTAGACGAAAGGGTTTTCCATTTTTGAGCTGCTTCGCAAGACGAATTTCCCTATGGGCTTGCTTCACAAGACGAAAACGTCTTGCAAGTTTGTTTCCTTTTTCTTAACACCGTTAATACAGTTGCAACTTGACTTCAAGGAGCAACTCATAGAACACAGTGTACATAGTAGCCTTTTTTTGAGGTTTTTAAAGACTTTGGTGATTTTTGAAGCTTTTCCAAAACTTCTTTTGCAGCCAAGTTAAGCTTTTAAAACTTTTTGGGGGTTTTTGGATTTTGGGTTGGGGTGTTTGGAATTCAAGGACTTGGTGTTGGGGAGGGGTTTGCAAGAATCTGGAAGCTTGTGTCTTTTTTCTGCATTTTTTTATGATTTTCTGTGACCATTGGGCCACTCTGCTGTTTTTTAAAAAAATTCTGGATTTGAATTTCTGTGTGCTGGGTGGCTGGGGGAACAGTTGGGGAGGGGTTTGCAAGAATCTGGAAGCTTGTGTGGTTTTTTTCTGCATTTTTATGATTTTCTGTGACCATTGGGCCACTCTGCTGTTTTTTTTAAAAAAATCTGGATTTGAATTTCTGTGTGCTGGGTGGCTGGGGGAACAGTTGGGGAGGGGTTTGCAACAGTTGGGGAGGTTGTTGTACCAAATTTGGCTTTGTTTGGACTTTTTTTGGCCATAGGAACGCATTAATTGATTTTCAATGCATTCCTATGGGAATTCGTGATTCGCAAGACGAAAAATTCGCTAGACGAAAAAACTCGCGGAACGAATTAATTTCGTCTTGCGAGGCACCACTGTATTATCGACCCAGGTGGGGATGAGTATGAAATAATAAAGCTGCAATCTGTTATCTATTTACCTGGGATTAAGCATTAGTGAATACAATTGGGTTTACTTAGTAAAACGCAGAGTTTTGTGCTATAAAAGGCAGAAATGTGTGTGTGTGTGTGTGTGTGTGTGTGTGTGTGTGTGTAAATGACATTTAGGAAGAGAGATAATAGAAACTGGTTCCACGTTCTAAATATCACAATTACCGTATTTTTCGCTCTATAAGACGCACCAGACCACAAGACGCACCTAGTTTTTGGAGGAGGAAAACAAGAAAAAAAAATATTCTGAATCTCAGAAGCCAGATCAGCAAGAGGGATCACTGTGCAGTGAAAGCAGCAATCCCTCTTGCTGTTCTGGCTTTTGGGATAGCTGCGCAGCCTACATTCACTCCATAAGACGTACACACATTTCCCCTTACTTTTTAGGAGGGAAAAAGTGAGTCTTATAGAGCAAAAAATACGGTATATTTAACAGGCATACATGACATTACCATGGAGATCTTCTCCTACTATGTTTGCTAAATGGCACAACCAGACTTCGAGTCCCATCTGCCTCAGCCACCATAGACAATGGCCATGGAATATAGGAGCTATAGTTCATAAACATCTGCAAAGCCCCTGGTTCTCCTTCCCGGTTCTAAACATATGTCCAAAGAATCAGGGATGATTTATTTTATAAACCTGCAGGGGGTGAAGAAGGGATGGGGAACCCGTGGCCCTGAAGTTGTTGCAGGATCCCAAGTCCTCTCAGCCAGCATTCCCAATGGACAAGAATGATGGAAGCAACATTGCAAGGACCACAGGATACCCATTCCTGCTCCAATTGGAAGAGCCATCTAGCCTTACTTTAATGTGAACCTATGACAGGCTTGGAAATATCCCCCCAAGAAAATAGGCTTACCTGCTGCTTTGGTGAGATGTAGTGAAGACAGGAGAGTCAGATGAAGCTGTTGGAGAAACTGGGAGAACGTTGAGCTTTTATACAGTTCTGCAACCGCCCCAGTGATCAAGGGACTGCCTCTTCTGACTAATATTTTATTTAGTTGTTGACAATTTAATGTGCAAAATTACTTCACTAAGCACAAAAGGTCACAAAATTAAGTGGTTGTAATAATGAAAGACTAATAGTCTCAACACCATTCCCACTCCCTTCCTTTTAATTTTGCTGACTTCGAGTCTGATGCTTGAAACCAGATGCACCCAGAGGGAGCAGATAGAGATCTTCAAAGCTCTTTCATCAGCTTAAGGGACTCTAGGACATCATCAAAGATTTTGCATATGCATACCAGATTCCAAGAGATCTCCAGTATCAGTGTCCTCACGAAAATCCATCAGCACACAGTTGTATTCAGTTTCCCCTCATCTACACATTACTGGAGTGCAATTCTCTTTAATATCATAATATCGTTGTTGTGCCTTCTTTTCTTTAAGATATGCACAGTTTACTCCAATGTATTCATTTTGCTACCCATTACAGTGCTACCTTGGTTCTCAAACGACTTAGTTGTCGAACAAATCAGCTCCCAAGCGCCAAAAACCTGGAAGTAAGTGTTCCGGTTTTTGAATGTTTTTTGAAGGCCAAACACGTGACGCAACTTCCGCTTGACCACAGGAAGCTCCTGCATCCAATCGGAAGCCGCCCCTTGGTTTCCCAATGGTTTCGGGAGACAAACGGATTAAGTTTGAGACCCAAGAGTTCACTGTACTTGGATAACTGCACTGGGAAATGCAGACAGCTACAGATTTTGTAGCACAGCAATGTTTCAGTTTGCACATTGTTTCAAAAAGGGGTGAATAAATTTTATTTTTCTTTAAGGGTCAATTGAATTGAATTTCCCTCCCATTCTTAAACTCACCTGCCTCTGTCACTGAAAAAACTTCATTCCTGTTTCTACTTAAACTTACTCTACTTACTCTACTCTACTTACTCTACTTGGTCCTTGTTCCCTACTGTCATGGTAGCGTATATGGTTCTGACAAGATATCACTGCACTCCCATCAGCCCCAGCCAGCATGGCCAATAGTCAGAAATTATGTGAGTGAAATCCACAAAAACTAGGGGGAATCCTGTTGGCTACCTCTGCCCTGCTTAAATTAAGCCTAAAGCAACTACATCCAACCCAGGAATGAGGAATCTGTGGAACCTCCTCTATTGCTGAGGTTCATATCCAAGGAAAAGTGTGCACAGTTCCCTATTCAGACCCGCTTCTTGTCATTTTGTAACAATGCCAGAGGCTGAGCTATAAATGGCCAATAGCTATGATAGCAGTGTTTGAAATTCACCAGGTGCCAGGCTCATTTTGCACCTGGCTATTGGCCACTTGCGACCAAGTGCTGATGCCCAGGCACCAGGATGGTGCCTGATGTCTACACCATCTGGAGGTGCATGACTGGGGATCCATGGATCTTGGCTCTTTTCATACACTAGCAGCACATCCTGTAGAATTCTGTTATATTTTAACTGCACAATCAGAATAAACTTCATTCTGTTCTCAATGACCGACTTCAGGAACCGAAAGGTTGTATTGAAAAATACAACTTTTGAGCCCTCTGGCCCCAAAATGGCAACTAGGCATTCAGTTTTGGCAACTATAACCCTGGTTTAAGGAGCCATAGGTCACCTAGCTTATATACCTGAGCTTCCAACACTGTATGTATGTTCTATTTCCACTATCAGAGACTGTAAGCCTCTGAATACCAGTTGTGGGGAATCTCAGGTTGTGATTGTGCTGTTGCATTCAGATCTTGTTTGCAGACTTCCCATTAGGAGATCTGGTTGGCCACTGGGAGAATAGGATGCTGGGCTTAATGGGTCACCTTTAGCCTGATCCAGAAGGATTCTTTTTTTAGAACTACGTAAATTCTTGGAGAATGAGGGTATCAATGGTCACAAGCCATGATGACTATGTTCTATAACTACTGTCAGCACGCTTTTGTATACCTATTGCTGGAAATCACTGCTGTCGGATTCAGGCCATGATGGTGAGCTTTCCATAGACATGTATGATAACAGAATGCTGGATTAGATGGGCCTTTGGTCTGATCCAGTCAACCATTTTTATGCCCTTAAATCCCTGGTTCTTTGAAAACAGCTGGCACTATATGAACCTTTTATTTCTTCAAATATCTTCTTTGAAAAGAATTCCCAAATAGTTGTGGAAATTCTCATACGCTTCCTTGCTTTATTGCGTACACTTATCCATACCTCGCTATATGGTACGTTTGCATCATTGAAGACTGGAAGAGCCTTGTTCTCAATGACCAACCAGATATCTATGGGAAACCCAGCAAGCACAAACTGAGTATAACAGCAACTCTCCCCCCCCCAAAAAAAATATTCTCGATTATAATGCATTTTTTGTATGTTATTTTCACTTAGTACAGTATGTCCATTCTTATGCACAATTTTGTACACATCACCTGGCTGCAGAACTGCATGAAATATTCGTGTAAGTGTAGATTTCATAGGAGTACACTGCTTCAATTGCTATACCATTTCAGAAAACGCAACCTGGATCAAATTTCTCCCCCAATCTTACCTCCAACAGTGGAGGTTAAACATAAACAAAACCTGCTATGTGTTGTGCACAGAATGACTAACTAAAATCCTGGGTATTAAAGTCAATTAGACTTCTGAGAAAATCAACAACTATTTTGAAAATAATGAATGGGGAAAAAACACCTTTTGATCTGCCTGCCAGGAGGAACAGACAAGAATTTTTATTTTTCTTAATCTTTTATTAACTTTGTCTTGTGGAAGAATAACTATGAAGAGAGTGGGATGCTGTGAAAACACTTAACACTTTTGCCTCGTTTCTTAATTAGGGCCATGATGCATTCCAAAAATTGCTTACTAATTAAAGCCGGAGGGGAAAGGAGGTGTATCCAAGCTGGATGTGGAGCCACCAGCAGATACAGATGAAATGGTATAAAAGGGCTCCCTGAGCTGAGATCTTCCAACAGCTTCCTTTGGCTTCATCTCCTTCACTTCATTTCTACTCCTCTGAGACTTTGGTAAGTCAAGTGTGTGCACATATGATGTTATATTTGAATGATTCTTGCAGTGGTCAGAACGTTCAGGTAACTGAACTCCAAGAGAAGGCTAAAATTCTATTACTCTGTGAATTGGGTAGATCTTCCACCAGGAACCTTACACTCTTAGGTTGTTGGCTGGTTTCTTTTCTATATCTACCTTATGAAATCAAGTATTTAGCTGCGTTAGTCCATCTAGCTCAGTTTTGGCCACACTGATCAGCTGTAGTTCTCCAGAGTTTCAAGAAGGGAGTCTTTAGCAGCTCAATCTGCAGATTCCAAGGACCGAACCTGGGATGTTCTGCATGAAAACCACGTGTTCGGCCACTGAACAATTGTCCTCCCCCTAAAATTAAAGTAAGGTTCTAATCTTCACGGTTCCAAATAAATACCTGACTCAAATGAGCATAGGGAGTTGTCCTGTACCATGACAGAACATTGGAATCCCTAGTTCAGTTTTACCTACTCAGATTGGCCATTGTTCTACAGGCCTTGAAGCAGGGGACATTCCTAGACTATCCTGAAATTATCAGGGATTGGATTTGGGATCCACAACGAAGACAAGGGCTGTAGTAACAAAAGCAGAGAAGAATAAAGGTTTCAGGCATGAGGGCTTAATGTTTTCAGAATTATCAAAGACAGCAGATTTTCAGTGGTGGAGAAAGGAAGATGGATTGAATTTACTGAACTGGGAATGGGTAAAATATCCTACTGCCACAGGATGATTATGTCTGAAATATTCTCCCAACTGTCCATTGAAGTGATGTAGCCCACACTTATTTTGTCCCTTGGTGTTTTTGGTTTCAGACTCACCTCCACCCAACAATGGTTGACTGTGGTCCATCCTGCGCTGTCCCATCCTGTGCTTCCACCCCCACTGTTGGGTTTGGCTCAGCAGGAGGTCTTGGCTATGGTGGTCTCGGCTATGGATTGGGAGGTCTCGGCTATGGAAATGGAGGATTCGGCTACGGATTTAGTGGTCTCGGCTATGGATATGGAGGTGCTGAAAGAGCAGCCAACCTTGGCATCCTAGATGGGATTATCCCTAAACCCATCAACCAGATCCCACCAGCAGAGGTCGTGATCCAGCCACCTGCCTCCGTTGTGACCATCCCAGGGGCCATCCTCTCTGCCAGCTGTGAGCCTGTGGCTGTTGGAGGCAACACTCCATGTGCCGTTGGTGGTTCCGGGATCGTAGGAGGCTATGGCTATGGGGGCTTGGGCTTTGGGTCTGGTCTCCTTGGAAGCTCTGGAGGTTTCGGCTATGGTTTGGGCTACGGGAGGGGAAGGAAGTTCGGGCGTCGTTTTAGCATCTGTTCATAGACCAATTAAACCTGAGAAGCATATCCTGAACTGATCATCAGAGGGCTTGATACAGATCTATCGGCCATGGTTCAGAAAAGCTGAATTCAAGCAATCACTCCTGGAATTCATCCTCCGTTCTTTGCTTCAGAGTGCAGAAGAAAAAAGATCCTTCTACACCGATTTTCTTCTTTGCCCCTTTCAATGCTCTTACTTTGACCTTTTCAATAAAGCTTGTTCTGCATTCTGATAACCTGTTTGTCCTGGTTTTTAAATGTAAAGCCTCAGTTCCGCATAGCAAGGTGTCCAGGGCCTCAGCTGTCTGAAGCAGTTTTTGGCCAAACTAAAATTGGAACATTTGCAGGACATCTTTCTCTCTGGCCCCCTGAATGGTTTAGTTCTATGTGGTTAAAATAAGGTACATTCACCTTGAGAGAATTATCATTTCCCCCTTTTTCAAAACAAGTCCCCTTTCAGAGTGCCTCAAACCATTATTTATTCAGAGAAGCAACAGTCATAATAGCTGGATAATCTTTTGTAGTTTTGCAACATTTGCATATGTACACAGTGTGGACTTTATTGTGGACTACAGCTTTTGTAATCAATATGTTACAAGACTTTGGACAATAACATATTTTTGATAGGAGATAATGTAGTCAAATGGTGCAGGATTATCCAGCCTCTCAGTCAGATACTGTATTTTGATAGCAGTTTTAAATTATTGCATACACGAGTTAAAGAAATATATTAAGCACATTTAAACCTTGACTTTATTTTTTGATTTGTAATCTGCATTTAAAGCCATCCAAATCAGTGGCAATCACCACATCTTCTGGTACTGAATCTAGAAGTTTATGCATTTTGTGAAGAACTATATCCTTTTGCTTCCACTGAATTCTGCAAGATTCTGGTCCCCTGCATGACCCCTGCTTCTAGCAAGATGAGAAAGGGAGAAAAAAGTCTCTCTATACATTTTCTCGAATTTTGAGAGACAGAAATCCTCAGAATGTCCATGAGGTGGTTGTGTTAGCAGACCAATTAGCCTTGAAGAGGAGAGAGGCAAGCAAACTGCACAGAGAAAGGTGCGAAGTCAGGTCAGTAGCATCTAAGTGCCCCAGCTCCCCAGTTAAAATGGCAAAAGCTGTAGACATCTTGCCCTAACAATAATAATAATTTTTACTTATACCAAACCCTCCCCGGCCTGAGCCGGGCTCGGGGCAGCTAACACCAGTAAAATTACAATAAAAACATACCAGAAAAAACCCCGATTTAAAATACAGGTTAAAATTCAATTTAAAATGCAGCCTCATTTTAAAAGTAGCCCATAGATCAAAACCATAAGGGGAGAGAAATATAAGGGTCAGACTGAGTCCAAACCAGTCCAAGCCCTCCCAAAAGCTCAAACTCTGTAAAATGAGGTTTGAGAAAGCCGCAAACTTTGACACTGAGTTAATAGAGGAAGTTTTAATGAATAACAACACACACTGGGCATCTTTAGACACAGGTACAGGAATCACGTTAAGATTTAAATACTTCCACAAAGATGTTTCCTCACAAAACAGCAAAGGTCACAGACGGCATCCAGATTAGCTCCCGGTGTCTGAGGCAAAGATTTACTGGAGAGGGAAAGATGAGCCAAAATTCTTAGGCAAAATATACTGGGAGCCGAAGAGAATGGTTGACTGGTTCTGGGCTGGTAGGAGGCTATGGCTATGGGTCTGGTCTCCTTGGAAGCAATTTCGGTGGCTAGCTTGGAGGTTCCCTTTATGGTCTGAGCAGGAATGGGCTCTTTGGAAGGAAGGCCCTGCTGGAACGTCGTGGTAGTGTGTGCTTTTAGATATATTGGACTCTTGAAGAACAAATGTGTGGTGATGACAGGAATGACACTCAACGGAAAAAGATGATGCAGATCCATTACTGAGTGTCTCATTCTGGATTCTGAAAAATCTGAGCTTTTGGGACCATCATCAAGCCAACAGCTTTTAAATGGCTCTCAGCAACCTTTCCTTACTCCTTTTCAAGTCTTTCCTCAAAGTCTGTAGACCAGTAATAAGTTCAGAGCCACGTTCCATTGTGTGTGCCTTTTCCTTGTTCATGTCTGCTTCTTGTACAATTGCCCACTCAATATTTTCAATAAAGCTCATTCTGAATTCAAATATCTCTCTCGTTCTTGGTTTGTTACCTTCTCTTGTTTCTCAAAAGGAGGCGGGGAGGGTATTCTCTCACGATGGAACATTTTTATAATATTTTGGCCTAGGGAGTTCCTGAGGAAACAGAGAACGGAAGGGAGGACATACTAGGCTCATAAGTTAGTGGAAGAGTGGGAAACTGCATGAATTCAATATTTATCGCATTTGTATCCCACCTTTTCTTCAGGGAGCTCAAGGTAGAACATATAGTTCTCCTCCTCCCCATTTTATCCTCACAACAATCCTGTGAATTTTGTTAGGCTGAGAGTGAGTTGACTGGCACAAGCTCACCCAGTGACCTTCATGGCCAAGTGGGGCTTTGAACCCTCTTTCCCCAGGTCTTAGTCCAACACTCTAACCACTACACAACACTGGCTCCTTGGGCTTCCCAAATGTTGCTAAGGTACAACTTCAACCATCCCTGGCCACTGGTTGTACTTTGTTTTGGACCTAATAGTAGATATTTCTTAAAGTCTAACAGGAACCAAGTTAAATCTTCTTTGGGGTGGAAGGCGGATGCTCTCTGTGCAACCTGTCCAAAGAGAGATCCTTACTGTTGACTTAGGAGCATCCCTTCATTATTGAGGAGTTGGAGGATAGGTATATAGGAAGCTGCTTTACACTGAATCACACTGTTGGGTCCATCTAGATCAGTGCTGTCTTTAGTGACCAGCAGTGGTTTTCCGAGCTCGACTTGGAGATGCCAGGGAGTGCCTTCTGCATGCAAAGCAGGTGCTCTACCATGGCAATATGGTCTTTCCTGTAGAAGTAAAACAGAATCCCAGTCCTTATGATTCTGAATAAAAGGCTGGTTTAAGTAGGGGCATCAGGGGCTACTTCATATGGAGTGAGACCGTTGGTTCATACAGCTCTGTTTTGTCTATGCTGACTGTCAGTAGCTATCCAGGGTTTCCGATAGGGGTCTTTCCCAGCCCTGGTTGGAGATGCAATGGATTGAAATTTGGATATTCTGCATGCAAAGCAGGTACTCTGCAACTGATATGTGGCTCTGTGGAATCTTAGTCAAAGACAAGTGGAACAAGGGGTCTTCCTCAGTGCTCACGTCTCAGGGATTGTGCTGAAGAGGGCTGCACTGAGGAGCAATGGCCGGAGTCTCCCCCTCCCCCTGCTCCTGAATCTTCCCAGGAGCAGTGGGACAGTATATGTCAGGAGCATAGCCGAGCCAAGAGATGAAGGAGATGGAAGAGAAACAGGGTGTGACTCTCAACATGACAGACTGCAATTAGAGCAGGAGGAAGTGGGCTCGGCCCCCTTTCTCCAAGTGTTCACTGAGTTAATTAGAGCAGACACAGAAAGCTCACAAGACGAGGGAGGGGAAGAGATAGACGGCACTGGAGGGGTTGTTGTTGTTATTGTTGTTTAGTCGTTTAGTCGTGTCCGACTCTTCGTGACCCCATGGACCAGAGCACGCCAGGCACTTCTGTCTTCCACTGCCTCCCGCAGTTTGGTCAAACTCATGCTGGTAGCTTTGAGAACACTGTCCAACCATCTCGTCCTCTGTCGTCCCCTTCTCCTTGTGCCCTCTACCTTTCCCAGCATCAGGGTCTTTTCCAGGGAGTCTTCTCTTCTCATGAGGTGGCCAAAGTCTTGGAACCTCAGCTTCACAATCTGTCCTTCCAGTGAGCACTCAGGCCTGATTTCCTTAAGAATGGATAGGTTTGTTCTTCTTGCAGTCCATGGGACTCTCAAGAGTCTCCTCCAGCACCATAGTTCAAAAGCATCAATTCTTCGGCGCTCAGCCTTCTTTATGGTCCAGCTCTCACTTCCATACATCACTAAGGGGTTACTAAGCAACAATCAGATAGGCAGAGGACTGAGCGCTCATCCTTGGACAGTGTAGATTTCCCCCTTCCTTCTGTTCACGTCCAAAGTGCTGAAAAGGTCAGATTGCAACAGTAGTGCAAAAGGGGAAAGGTGGGACGTTGGCGTTTTTCCTGTTGTGACACAAGTGATTTCTCAGAGTGACCAGCTGATTTCTATGGAGCAGAGGGCTGTAGCCATGCTCTGATTGTATTGTGAATAAATGAAACCATTGAAAACTGCCAGAGACTCGTTAATTCTTATCTGGGCTTGGAAGCCTGCCTGGAAATCATTATAGTATAGATTTGGAATACAGTGGTTTGCAGAGGGACATAGTTCAGAAGACAGAAGTTGGGAAGAACTGGGTGGTGAACAGCTAGGAGGAGAACTGGGGGAGAGAGAGTTAATAGACTCTCTTTCACTGGAAAGCATCCATCTGCTCAGCCCAAGGTCAAGGAGAGCAGATAAGGTGGCAGCACAGAAAGCAAAATGCTTGTGAGATCAGGTTGCAAGACATGGATGTGACGTGGATAACAAGGGGGGAAGTGGGTGGAATCCTTAATTGGGAGCACCTTCATTCCTAGAAATGGATTCTTTGTTCTCTCACTGAGATCATTAAAGTTTCTAACTGGTAAGAGACTCCTTTTGCTTTGTACTGCCAAAGGGGGTGGGGAGCCATGTACATGAAGCCTGACATCACGTAATTTGTAATACACAATTTGTTGCCACCACTTGGGTCATATTTATAAATACGACCCAAGTGGTGGCAGCAAATTGTGTATTACTGAGGGTCCTAGGCCATGAAGGGCTTTAAAGGTCAAAACCAGCACCTTAAATCTGACCCTGTACTCCACCGGGAGCCAGTGCAGCTGGAAAAGCACTGGATGAATATGCTCCCAAGGCAGAGACCCCGTGAGGAGCATCGCTGCAGCATTCTGCACCCGCTGGAGTTTCTGGGACAGCTTCAAGGGCTGTAATTTGCTTGCCTGATGAAGTCTCTCCCCTCAAACTATTGTGTACGTATTTACTGCATTCTTATCGACGCTTCAGCCAAGACAGTTTGCCGAACAGCTTACTGAGATTATGAAGCCAGTCCCTGCCCTTCGGCTTAAAACTAAAAAGACACAACACAAGTCAAAAGTTGCTGTCTCCAAGTGAGCTGATGGAGAGTTCCTGCTCCCATTTCCTCCCTCCCTGCTCC